ACTATAGTGTCAGGAAAACAAAGCGATTTTCCTGACACTATAGTGCCCTGAGGGGGCCGCCACCCTCAGGGTCCCTCTCCCTTCAGCAGCTCACCTTTATCCAGCGCCGGGCTCCCTCGGCTCTGGTGACCTCTTCTCCCCATGCGACGTCAGCTCCCTAGTGGAGCGGAATGCGCATGCGCGGCAAGAGTCCATAGGAAATAATTTCTCAATGCTTTCCTATGGAAGCTCTGTGCGATGGATGCGAAATTCGCATCCAGCGTCGCAGATGCGCCTCAAGTGGCTTTCAGGAAGACAGCCACTGGAGGCTGGATTAATCCCAAATGTGAACATAGCAGTTTCTCTGAAACTGCTATGTTTGCATCTGAAGGGTTAAAACCTGAGGGACCTGGCACCCAGACCACTTCATTGAGTTGAAGTGGTCTGGGTGACTATAGTGTCCCTTTAAATGCCAAACAGTCAAATATACATATACTGAAGGATGCACACCAAACCAAATGTGCAAAAACTAATCAATACTTTATTAAACAAGTGACAGAAATTAAAAAACTAAAAGTGACAGAGGCTATTCTCGATACACAATGCAATAAAGTAACCTAACAACAAGAGCTGGACATGTACAAAACCTATACCCCAAACAATTTGGCACCTGAGATTTTACTTTTCTCAAAGGTGTCCCGGGCCCAGTTACACATGGGGGGCCCAAAGCAGTTGTCCCATGGGCCCCCTTCCCGCAGCCAGAACTGAAATTGAAAAATGTCCCTGTGGGCTGCAGCAGGTGACTCTCGACCGGGCCACTGTCTTCCTGCCAGCTAGGAGGAAGAGAGGTGAGGTCACTTCCTCCCAAGTAACAGAGTGCCGCTGGGGAAGAGGAGGAGGCACACATGGAGAAGGAGGAGGCACACACTAAGAAGAAGGAGAGGGACTGAGGTAGCCAAGTTCATCAGACTCCCATCAATCTCAGCCATCCAGCTTAAGTGGAACCCAGGGAAGCCACTCTTATGTAAAGGAGGTTGTCTAAACTATGTTAATTGATATGACTGTGTGTGTGTGTGTATCTGATTGTGTGTGTGTGTGTATGTGCCCAGGGGCGTATTAGCCGCAAGGCAAACAAGGCATTTGCCTTGGGCGGCATTTTTCAGGGGGCGGCAAAAAACGCCGCCCCCCAAATGCCCAGGGCAGATGCCTAGTTAGCCTTGCGGCTAACTGACATCCCGGGCGGCCGGCGAGGGAGCACTTCCTATGAGCTGACTGCTCAGCTCCCTCGCGCGTCGGCTGCAGAGTGAGGCTGGGAAGCCGGAAGATGACGTCATCTTCCGGCTCCCAGCCTCACTCTCACAGCTGAGGGAGCTGAGCATCAGCTCATGGGAAGTCTCCCTCGACTGGCCGCCCGCCTAGCGCCGCACGCCCTGCAGCCACTGGACCACCAGGGAGAGTGACACCCAGCACTCTCAAAGGTAAGGAGGTTGGGGGGGGATTTAAATTAAAAAGTAATGTGTGTGTGTGTGTTTGTGAGTGTGTGTGTGTGTGTTTGTGTCTGTGTATGTGTCTGACTGTGTTTGTGTCTGTGTATGTGTCTGTGTGTGTCTGTGACTGTGTGTGTGTGTGTCTGTGTGTGTTTGTGTGTGTGTTTGTGTCTGACTGTGTGTGTTTGTGTCTGACTGTGTATGTGTGTGTGTGTGTCTGACTGTGTGTGTGTGTGTCTGACTCTGTGTGTGTGTGTGTGTCTGAATGTGTATGTGTGTTTGTTTGTGTCTGACTGTTTGTGTATGTGTCTGACTGTATGTGTGTGTTTGTGTGTCTGACTGTGTGTGTGTCTGACTGTGTGTGTGTGTGTGTTTGTGTCTGACTGTGTGTGTGTGTGTGTTTGTGTATGTGTCTGACTGTGTGTGTGTGTGTGTGTTTGTGTCTGATTGTGTGTGTGTGTATTTAGAAGGTGGGGCGGGGGGAAGGGTTGGGTGGGGGTGGCCTGAGTTTTGTCCTGCCTAGGGCAGCACAAAACCAGGATACACCACTGTATTTGCCTGTATGTGTGTATATCTGTCTGGCTGTGTTTATGTCAGTGTGTGGGTCTGGCTGTGTTTGTGTCAGTGTGTGTATCTGGCTGTGTTTGTGTCCATGTATGTGTACTTTTGTGTTAGTGTTTATGTGTATCTGTGTGTATGTATACCTGTGTCTGTGTACTTGTGTGTCAGTTTGTATGTGTACCTGCATGTCTGTGTATATGTATTTGTGTGAGTATATGAGTGACAGTGTGTGTGTTTATCTATGCGTGTGGCAATGCATACATCCCATCATTCCAGTACTAACACTGCACACAAATACACCCCTGCATTCCAACACTAACACTGCATACAAATACACCACTGCATGTATATCTGTGTTCCTGTGTGTATCTCAGTGTTTGTGTAAGTGTGCATCTGTGTGGCAATGCATACATCCCAGCATTCCTATGCCAACACTGCACACTAATACACCCCCGCATGTGTACCCGTGTGTCTGTATGTATCTTAGTGTGTGTACATATCTGTGTCAGTGTGTGTAAGTTTGTATCTATGTGTGTTGATGTGCCAGTGTTTTTATCTCTGTGTGTGTGCACATGTGTTTTATGTATGTGCCTATGTGTGTATACACCAGTTTGTGTCAGTGGGTGCATGTGTCCAGATGTGTGCATGTATCAGGGTGCTAATGTGTATGTATATCTGTGAATGTATGTCATACATCTCGGCAATTAAACACAACATGCAAACACACCCTGCAAACATTACATACAAACGCCCCTGAATTCAAACTCAAAAAGTATATAGAAACACACCCCATCACTAAAACACCAATGCTACATCCTACATGCACACACATACTGTATAGAACAACATATTCACATTCAAATGCACAAAATCTGCTCCCCCCGACCAAGCGACCAAAATTTACACCTAGATACGCTAGTCAAGACAGGACACCGGTGTCCGGCCTGAGCTATTTACACCAAAAATTCAGCCTGACCCAAACCACCTGTATTAGACGGGCTGACTACAGAGCGTCTAATTTCCAATAATCGGTGCGCCATCACTTCTTCCATCCAGAGGGATGGGGCAGATTCCTTACAACCAATTGCAAATATAAAACCCCTTGTGGGCCTACCGCTCTAACGGTATCAGTCTTACCTCTTCGTTCCTGAACCTGGGCTTCACACTCATCGACGGGGCACCCCGGTACTCACTGCGCAGAAGCCGATGATCTCCTGGACAAAAGGCCAGTGGCGCCGAGACGAAAGGAGGTCCACGCAGGAGTCCAGGGGTGCTGCCGTGGAGAACGTTGGTAAAGATCTACCGTCTCACATCTCGGTCTCAGCTACCGTGACGATGAGCTTCCCGGCCAATGTACCAGAGATGTAACCGTGTAAGTGTGCAGAAGCCGAACACAGAGAGATGGACACAGGTATTCAGGAAGTAAGAGACTTTTATTCACGTACCGATCGGGTCTCAGATGGACTAACATTCCACAACAGATCTGAGCCCTGAGCACATGGAGTACATTCATTATATAGCACTGTAGCTCCTCCCATAATTAGCTACGCCCACACATACCCTTAACCAATCAATGAACAGAGTCTAAACTCGTCCATCCGATCTAACCATGTGGCTCATCTGAAACAAAGGAGAAGGGCATGTCATTCCAGTTCCTGCATTCCTGCACATGCTCAGTACATTGATGACAGTATCTTAGCTACGTGTAACTAACTAACTGATACTACAAACACATGTACCTACATATGCCTTGTGGCAATCTTGGCCTACTAAAATGTTATTTTACTGGAATTCCATCACATTACTAAGCCATGTTTATGTAGCAAGATTTTGATACACATTCTCATGCTGCAGCATTTTATTAGCTTGTTTCATCAAAATTTAGCACACTATGGTAGGTGGAGTTTGACTAGGATTTCATAAGACTTTCTTTTTCTTAAAGGGACACTATAGTCACCCAGACCACCTCAGCTCAATTAAGTGGTCTGGGTGCCATGTCCCCCAGGTTTTAACCCTTCACATGTAAACATAGCAGTTTTGTGGCAAACTTAGCCACTTAAGACTACTTGCTGTATAAGGGTTGCCCTATAGACGTTATTGTGATGCTTTGTGTATGTGTATTTTGAATCTGGGTTAGAGAGCATTTGTATGCTAGCGGCACGAAAGCCGCTAGCATTAATATGGTAGTTTCACGAACAGTGAATTTCAACACTGTTCGTGAAATGAATAAAGTACCGAGTGGGAGACCACACGAAGGGGGTCGTGTGTCTCCCATTAGGGCTTGCAACATTGTATCCATCCTTCCTTAATGTGTTTTCCAGGTGGCCGCCGTTCGTGTACAGAACACGTGGCGGCGGCCATCTTTGATCCCTCAAGCCCATTGGTGTTTGGTCGTCGAGTGCCTGGAACAAAAATTTGCTACTCAATGGCACGAACACCGCTGGACTTCCAGACCTGTCGTGCAAATAATTATTTCGGCAGATTAAAGCGCTCCGTCTGGTCTTTCATTATAAGGCTTATTCATGTAACAAGGTAATTCAAATGGCATTCGTCTAAATGTGCAGGGATCTGAGTGGTACCTCACCAGATGGTGCGCTCAGATCCCAGCTATGCAGCAAGAGGTCATTCAGCTCATTCACACGAATATTGTAACTATTACAGATAGTAAAAGTGTAACTTTAGCAACGGAATGTAAAAGTGTAACTTTGGCTGTATGGAGAGATAAGATGATTAACAGTGTATTCTTATCTCTTATCTCTCATGTACAGCAATGGATGCTGGGAAGCCGCCCTGTAACCTAAGTTCCCCACATAGTCCCCTACTGTAAAACCCCTGCAAAGCCACTTTGAAAACTCCTTGCATAGGGAACTGTATAAATACTGTGACCTGTGAATAAAAGCCCAGTTGACTCCCAGACTATGTGTCATCTAGTTCTTGGGAGGAATGGATTACTGTAACACTACCTGGATTATTGTATGCTGTTCACCTGGATTATTGTATGCTGTTCCTGTCTACCAGCGGAGATATTGTGGATTGTACTACCTCTCCGCTACAAGTTTCATAGAAACTGCTATGTTTACATTGCAGGGTTAATCCAGCCTCTAGTAGCTGTCTTCCTGACAGCCGCTAGAGGCGCTTCTGCGACGCTGGATGCGGAAATCACATCCAGCGTGCAGATCGTCCATAGGAAAGCATTGAGAAATGCTTTCCTATGGACTGTTTGAATGTGCGCGCGGCTCTTGCCGCGCATGTGCATTCCACTCCACTTGGGAGCTGATGTTGTAGGGGGAGGAGAGGTCACCAGCGCCGAGGGAGCCCGGCGCTGGAGTAAGTAACTGAAGAGGTTTTAACCCCTTCAGCGCCAAGGGAGGGGGGCCCTGAGGGTGGGGTGGATCCAGTGGCGTACATACCAGGGTCGCAGGGGTCGCGGCTGCGACCCGGTATGTACACACAGGGCCAGCCTCTTCCCCTGGGGGGCCCAGGAGCCGGCCACCCCAGGGCCCCCCGAGGCTGGCCCTGCTGACACCGGGCGGGTGGCCGGTCGGGCAGGCGGGCGCGCGAGGGAGCACTCAGTGCTTCCTCGCGCGCCCGCCTGCCCGACCTGCCAGCCCGCCCACAGTGACCTGCCGCCCAGGGAATCCCCCCAGCACTCCAAAAGGTAAGGAGGCTGGGGGGATTAAATTTTAAACAAAAAACTAGTGTTAGTGTTTGAGTGTGTGTGAGTGTTAGAGTGAGTGTTAGTGTGTGTGTGTGAGTGTTAGTGTGTGTCTGCTAGTGAGTGTTAGTGTGAGTGTTAGAGTGAGTGTGAGTATGTGTGTCTGCTAGTGAGTGTCAGTGAATGTGTTACTGTGTGTGTCTTATGGAGTGTGTGTGTTAGTGAGTCTGTTTGATGTCTGTTAGTGAGTGTGTGTTTGTCAATGAGAGTGTATGTTTTGTAAGTGAGTGTGTATGTATGTCTGTCGCTGACTGTGTCTCTGTCAGTAAATGTGTGTGTCTGTTAGCTAGTGTGTATGCGTCTGTGTGTGTGTGTGTGTGTGTGTGTGTGTGTCTTCAGCACTTACCTTTCTCCAGCGCCGGACTCCCTTGGCGCTGGGGATCCCTCAGCCTCTCAGCTCCGAATGCGACCGCGCACGCATTCAAACCGCCCATAGGAAAGCATTACTCAATGCTTTCCTATGGACGTTCAGTGTGCTCCTCTAGCGGCTGTCAGTGAGACAGCCACTAGAGGCTGGATTAACCCTCAGTGAAACATAGCAGTTTCTCTGAAACTGCTATGTTTTCAGCTGCAGGGTTAAAACTAGAGGGACCTGACACCCAGACAACTTCATTGAGCTGATGTGATCTGGGTGTCTGTAGTGGTCCTTTAAAGGACCACTATAGTCCAGGAAAACATACTCGTTTTCTTGGCACTATAGTGCCCTGAGGGTGCCCCCACCCTCAGGGGCCCCCCCAGCTCTGGAAAGGAAAGGGGTAAAACTTACCTTTTTCCAGCGCTGGGCGAGCTCTCCTCCTCCGATCCTCCTCTTCTCCTCCCCGTCGGCTGTATGCGCACGCGCGGCAAGAGCTGCGCGCGCATTCAGCCGGTCACATAGGAAAGCATTCATAATGCTTTCCTATGGACGCTGGCGTGCTCTCACTGTGAAAATCACAGTGAGAAGCACGCAAGCGCCTCTAGCGGCTGTCAATGAGACAGCCACTAGAGGAAATAGGGGAAGGCTTAACCCATTCATAAACATAGCAGTTTCTCTGAAACTGCTATGTTTATGAAAAAATGGGTTAACCCTAGCTGGACCTGGCACCCAGACCACTTCATTAAGCTGAAGTGGTCTGGGTGCCTAGAGTGGTCCTTTAAGTGTGTGTGCATCTGCATGCACTGGCGTACATACCGCGGTCGCAGGGGTCGCAGCCCTGTGACCAGGTGCCCACCGCCATGTGTTGCGGCCCGGCCCGCGCGGGGGGGGGGGCCCACGGATCAATTTTCGCACCGGGGCCCCATGGGTCATGTGTACGCCACTGGGTGGATCTAAGGGTTATGTAGTGTCAGGAAAACAAGTTTGTTTTCCTGACACTATAGTGATCCTTTAATGATAACAGCACACACTATTCATCCTAGCATTGTGTCACATTTTCTGTTGCTTTGCTTCATTGTTAATGTTTATTTTCCAATTATTTTTTTCTAAAGGACATGGCATTACATCATTAGACAATATCCTCTACTGTTGCTTGTATAGTTGCCAATAAACAAATATAAATAGACAAATCAATATGAATGAAATCAATATAAAAAGATGAATAGGCACTAGTGGTCTAATGCACCATGTAGCAGGAGAACTAACATTGTCATGTCAACCTGCTTGTATAAAGAGGAACTATAACTTCCTAGGATTTCTAATATTGGCCTCCATGTAGTATTTTTTTGGTAAGCTTTTCAAATAATTAAAATATAAAAAAAAAATCATATTAAATATATATATCAAATATTTTTCAAAATCTATGTAAATTTAAAAGTTTTCCAAACATTTTGAATCATTTGAAAAGCTTATTAAAAATATCACATGCAGGCCATTATGTTTACCTATCCCTATATTTAACAAATATGTATTTGTGAAGTTTGACAAATGACATGTTATGTAGAAATCCACACCTGCTTATCCTGCAGCTTTATTTTAGCTCCCTGTCAATCATTACAATCTATCATTTGCACCTGGTAGTCAACATGTGACATCATATAGAAAACAGGAAAGATTAAACACGGTTATTTACTAAAGTGAGAGTTCAAAGTGAATATCAATTTTAAAGGGGCACAAAAGGTACCAAACCAACTTTTGCTTAATGAAGCAGTTTTACTGTATAGATCAGGCTTCCCCAAACGCCAGCCCTCCAGATGTTGCTGAACTCTGCCAGTTTTCTGCCAATTAAATTACTTTGCTTTTACAGCCCTAGTCACTCCTCCCTGCCCGTGACTTGCACAGCCTTCCCAAACACTTCCTGTAAAGAGATATGCAATGTTTAAACTTCCTTTATTGCACATTCTATTTAATTTAGAATTTCTTATCTTCTGCTATGTTAATAACCTGCTAATAACCTGCCACAGCTTGGAGAAGACTCCTGTGTGATTAAAGTTCAATTTACAGAGCAAGAGAATACAAATGTTTCAAGTAAGTTAACATCTGATTGAAAATGAAACAATCTTTTCACAATGCAGGCTGTGTGATTCACAGCAGGGGAGGAGTTTCTAGGGCTGCATAGACAGAAACAAAAGTAATTTACCTCCTAAATGGCAGACAATTGAGTAGTGAGATTGCAAAGATATGATCTGTACAACAAAACCACTTAATTAAACTAGAGCAATTATATTGTGATGCCTATAGTATCACTTTGCGTCCAGACCTGAACTGAAAGCATTTTCCAGTTCAGCTATTTTGACCTTAAATTGAAATTTACTTTGATTTTTCACTTTATTGAATAACTCTGTGTGTCTCTTTTTCTCCTCTTCATTTGCAATTTGTGTCCTGACTTTGCCTTGTATGAACAGGATTATGATGTAATTTTTCAAAGACCACTAGAGTCACCCAGACCACTTGATCTTAAAGGAACACTATAGTCACCTAAATTACTTTAGCTAATTAAAGCGGTGTTAGTGTATAGATCATTCCCCTGCAATTTCACTGCTCAATTCACTGTCATTTAGGAGTTAACTCACTTTGTTTCTGTTTATGCAGCCCTAGCCACACCTCCCCTGGTTATGATTGACAGAGCCTGCATGAAGAAAAACTGGTTTCACTTTCAAACAGATGTAATTTACCTTAAATAATTGTATCTCAATCTCTAAATTGAACTTTAATCACATACAGGAGGCTCTTGCAGGGTCTAGCAAGCTATTAACATAGCAGGGGATAAGAAAATCTTAATTAAACAGAACTTGCAATAAAGAAAGCCTAAATAGGGCTCTCTTTACAGGAAGTGTTTATGGAAGGCTGTGCAAGTCACATGCAGGGAGGTGTGACTAGGGTTCATAAACAAAGGGATTTAACTCCTAAATGGCAAAGGATTGAGCAGTGAGGCTGCAGGGGCATGTTCTATACACCAAAACTGCTTCATTAAGCTAAAGTTGTTCAGGTGACTATAGTGTCCCATTAATAAAGCAGTTTGGGTGCAGTGTCCCTTTAGTTTTAACCCTGCAATGTAAAACATTGCAGTTTTGTACTTATTTTGTACTTATTTTTTAGATGTTCTTGAGATAATATATTTAAGAAGGTTCAGAATGGAAAAGAATGGCAAATGACTTCGACTTGTACTAGGAACTATTTGTACAATCTTTATTTTTTTTTGAGAATCTTTAACATGTCCTTCAAAGAATTTTTCCATGCATAAGACTTTTTTTTCAAAAAATTTTAGTCTAAAATTGGGGTTCGTCTTATACATGGAATGTCACTGAAGGGGTTAAAAAAAAACTTGTGCGTGAGGCCTAAGCCAAGATGGCACTTGCTGCTTTTCAGTGTGCCTTGGGCCACACACATACCTGGCCTCCTCCCTCCGATCCACTTCTAAATGCTGTGACAAGGAGGAAGAGGTCCCTATGTGTTCGGAAGCTGCAGCAGGCATCAGCACTTTCCACCAATGGAACTTCAGAGACATGACACACCATAAAATGAGCAGCCATATTAAAGTATAATTGCTCTCTGATTTATATTTATGGGGGAGGAAATAGGGATCAGAGAGCAGAGGGAATACTACTATGAAGTCCCAGCATGCCCTCACACCACCTGCACTATTGTGGAAGCTCTGGTCTCCCAACATGCACTATAGAGCCAATAACTTCACAGAGTACTGTAGCACAGAGGAGGCATGAGAATCAGAAGTGTGTTGTTTTCACCTCTAAAATTTTAAAGTTGTTCTATTTGATGTTTAAATTATTTATTTTTAAATTTTGGCCTCCAAAAATAGGGGTCGTCTTATACAGTCAGGTCCATAAATATTGGGACATCGACACAATTCTAATCTTTTTGGCTCTATACACCACCACAATGGATTTGAAATGAAATGAACAAGATGTGCTTTAATTGCAGACTTTCAGCTTTAATTTGAGGGTATTTACGTCCAAATCAGGTGAACGGTGTGAAGAAATCCCTCTTTATGTGTACTATTTCTTCCATATTCATTCGGTAGATATAACTACCGAACAGAGACCACCGCCTGGCTCGTTAAACTTCAAAGAATGCTTCAATAGAACCCTCTATCTGTGCGGCCAGCGTTCGTACTACCGAATGCTACGTGGCTGAGAAAACGGCGGCCATCTTTTTCCAGGCGAAGAAAGGCAGCGGGACTTGGTCGTCGAGTGTCTGGAACTAAAATCGGACACTCGACTTCCCCAACACTGGTCTCAACAAGCGAACGCTGGATCTCTATTTCCCGAATAGCTAGAAGAGCGCTATTCAGTACTTTTGTGCATTCGAATGAAGAGAACGATCGCTGCTAAGAGCCAGGGGAATCCATTTGTGGAATTATTCGGTTTTTGCCACTTAACTAAATAGACCGGCAAAACCACCCAAGCTCAAAGGACTTCCACACTTTTTGAGAACCCCTGAACCGATCTGGGTGAAATTTGAATATGTTGGTCACCCAGATCGGGGCTATCAGTGGACATATTATTTGTGGGGATACCCCGTGTCTAAAGGGGTGTTCTGGATATTGGGAAAAATTGTGATTTTTCTGCCTGGAGATAATCAAGTTATTACTTTATCAGACTTGATTATCTCCAGAACTAGGGGAGGGAATTGTATGTTTGTCCTGGGTGTGTTTTACTGTTTTACTGTAACTGATTGGTTATACTGTGTCCCTCCCTGTGAGATGTCTCCTTGCATAGGGACTTGCATAAAAGCCTGTGTGTGGTCATTAAAAGCCAGTTCTGTTGTACCCTTCTTCTTGACTTCGGCTGATGTTTGGGGATTCGTATGCTTTATTAAGGAAATTATCTTGTAAAGCTATTTGTATTTGTATGGATTTTGCCTATTCCATCTACCGAACGGAGAGCTATACTCACTGATGCTCTGGCGGTTCGGGAGGAAACTATCGAATGAGGATTGGATATACTAGGTTTCCTTACAAACAGTGTAGGAATTACAACAGTTTGTATATGTGCCTCCCACTT